TCATGTTTATTAATAAAAAAACAAAAATCGGATTGCATAGAAATCAAGTCCAATTTCAAATTGAAAGTTAAAATTTAAAATCTCATATCATTTGGCTACTACTTTCTTTAGTTCAGATTTGTTTTAAACATAAAACAGAGTCAGATGATATTAATTTGAAATTAAAAAATGAAATCGGACTGTAACATCCTAAAAATTTGGTATTTGTTTAATCCTATTAACTAATTTACAATTTTAAAATAATAAGGCAGTAGATTACCAAGAAAGACGTTTTACAATCTCTGTTATATTTGGTTATGCAATCTTTATAAAGCCAATATAAATTATATTATATATATCTTGCTAAATAATATAATTATTTATAAATCATATCATATACATAGGTGTCAAGCGTTTATTTTTCTTAGATACGGTTTACACAGAGGTAGGGTGTTTTCTGTATTATTTGTTTTTTGTTTAATAATATATAAGTTACATTTTGTTTTATACATGTTTTATGTTATTCCAATCATCCAAATATAAATCCTTACCTTAATAAAATTAGTCCGTGCATCGCACGAGTAATGCACTAGTAATATTCTACATAAAGGTGTACATAACACTCACATTGAGTGGGACCTACCAAAAATATTGTGAATGTTATATGCACTTCTATGTACATTTATTATGTACTTGTAGCATTTTTTTTATATATATATAGATAATTTCCCGGCGGGTCGACCCAGGACCCGGCTGACCCGGAGCCAGAACCTATCCAGGTAGACTATTAGGACCAGGCAACAAAGGACCCGTTCAAATCCGGTCAACCCGGACGACCCGGTGCATTGATCCGATTGGGACAACCCGGTTGACCCAGCCCATATATATTTTTTAATTTTTTCTTCAAAATAAAACTATGTATATATATGTTTATATGGTAATATTATCATCACATACATATTATTAACTTTTTAATGTACAAATTTTAAACACAAAATATTTAATTTTATTATTTTTATATATATTTATATGACAAAAATACTTTATATATAATTTTTAAAATTTTAAAATTAATTATTTGATTCTGCAATTGTTTTGGTGACTTGACGGTTAAACCGGTGATCCAATGACTCGGAGACTTACCTGGATCCATTACCGGGCCGCGTTCAAAAACTACGATAAAATGTCATAATAAAAAAACACATAAACGAAAGTATTAATTTGCTAATTTAAGTATATTTCTTTATAATATGAAGAGTTGGCCACCGAATGGTTTGACTATATAACACAAGAATTTGTTAGTAAACTTGGCAAACGGTTCGACGCACTCCCAATCCGCCGGACTCAACCCATTGACCATGGGTCAGTGGCCAGCCCCAAAATCACACCCACTGGTTGTCGGCTTGGTTTCAGGCCTCAATTTTAATTGACAAATATATTTTGGTTGAAAATAAATCCCCCTATATATTAATGCAGAACGCGCTGAGCCTACGTGGCTGTTTTTTGTGCTTCGAAATCTTATGTGGCAAAATTGCATGCTTCGTTATAAGGTTCGAGTAAATTTTTTATTTCCAAACAAAAAATAATTAGGTTCGGATTACCATAAATATGTTGATTATTTATGGTAATGTTACATGTATTAATTGCATTTTAATATCATTCCTTATTATAACTATTAGGTTCGGATTACCATAAATATGTTGATTATTTATGGTAATGTTACATGTATTAATTGCATTTTAATATCATTCCTTATTATAACTATTGAATTGTATATATATTTAAAAGTTAATAACTTTTGTATTTTTTATCAGTTTTATATATGTAATATATCAAATTAATCTTCTTTTGATGAGCTTCGATTTTACATCCATATTATATGTATAAAATTATTTTTAATATTAATTAGAGAAATAAAATTATTTATCAACTAATATATTTATATTGCAAGTAGTTATATGATATAACTTATAAAAACTAATATAATATAACACATGTAAGTCATAAGTAACACATATCATTCTAAAATATATAGTAATATATTTTTTTTGTAAAAAAAAAAATTAAATTTAATATAGTTTTCTCATTAATTTTAAAATTTAAGAATAATTTTTTAACAAGCACCCGTGTAATACACGAGTGTTGTACTAGTAAATAAATGATCCCCAATTTTAGGAACCAGAATTGTTCTTTCCCCAGCCGGTTTGGGTTCCAACAAATTGGGCCCGGAGACCCATTAGTTCGCGCCCAAAACCAACCGACCAGGTACATATCTACTCGTTGATAGTCGGGCTCAGCCCGTTGAGCATGGGCGTCTGCCCCAGAACCGACTGGCTGGAACCGGGCCTGGCAGCCGGTTCAGGGCTTAGTTTTCGACCCTTTGTCCCTACACACATACACGTACCTGCAATTAACTGGCCAACTGCGAAAAAGATTTTCGTGAAGCTGCTGGTATGATTTTCCCTAACCTTTTCCCTTAAGTTTTCATAATTGTAAGTTTAGGATTATTATGTGCACACAATTGATAAAAAAAAAAGCCTCTTAAATCACACATGGTTTTTGGTTTGAAACTCTGAGAATATTGTCAGGGGTTCGTAACAAAAAGATCACGTTTGTGTAAAGTCGGATCGAATTTTCATGGAGAGAACAAGTAAAAAGAGTCGTAAGCTTTCAAACAGAGAGCACAGTTTGCTCGCAATCGATAGGCTCAGCAGCTTGCCAGACGAAGTCATATGCCAAATTCTTTCCTTCCTCCCGACAAAGCTCTCTGTGTCAACCTGCGTTCTCGCGAAAAGATGGAGGTCTTTGTGGGCCCACGTCCCCGTTTTGGATTTCCAAGCAAATTTTTACATAAACGAAAGAACTAATGGAATTTCTTTCGTAGACAAACCAACTAATACAGACATGATCTACAAGGTTATTCTGTGGCACAAAGCGAAAACATTGCGTACTCTTCGGCTCAGAAGCATGCAGCGCAACGAGCATCAACTGGAGACATTAATCTCCGTTGCCATTGACCGTAAGATACAGAATCTTTATCTCGAGTTTGCCTTTCCAAATACTTTAAAGTTGTGCAGACCCCTATTCAACTGCAAAACCGTTGTTGACATGAGGCTCGGTAACTGCAAAGGCTTCCCTTCGACTGGGGGCATATGTTTGCCTAGCCTCAAGAAACTTCATCTTTCTAAAGTTGAGTATAAGGATGATGAAGCCCTTTCGCACTTGCTTTCTGGCTCTCCTTTGCTCCAGGAGTTGATCCTGGATTGTGGGGTTTCATGTAGTGAAAATACCCTTAATATATCATCATCGACGATAAAAATGCTTGAGTTGAATCTTCGACTTAATCATGTATGTGTCCCGGTGTTTAGGATTTTAATAGATGCACCGGAAGTTAGATGTCTTCGTGTGGGTAATTGTGATTTGGGTTGCATCACCATTCCAATAGATATGAGCTCCTTGCTTGAGGTGGACATGTGCTTTAGAAAATGTTATGCGTGGGAGATTGGAAACAATAAGGTCGTCAAAACCATTAACAAAATTTTCAATAGTAATAACCGAGTAAGGGGCAGATGCAATTTGATAAAAATTTTTAATTGTTTGCGTCAAATCAGGTGCTTAAAGATATCAAGCTGTGAATACTTGAAGGTATGTTGTGATTTTTCTGTCATCTTCATTCTCTGTTAAAGCGTGCCATCTTGTTCTGATTGAGTTGATTTTTCTTTTGCAGGTTATTGACAGAATTGTTGGTTCAATTGGAAAGTTTAATAATCTAACCAAACTTGAACTCCAATTGGGTGTTAAATTGCATTTGCTTGTAGAGTTTCTAAAAGTTGCTGATAATCTTGAAGTCCTTATTGTAAGTGGAGTTTGCCAATCCATTTGAAATTCGTCTTTAGCTGTTTTGCTTTTCTTACTCCAATAGCTTCCTTCTTTTGCTGTCATCAGGCTGATATAGAAATTCATAATTCCTGTATGGAAACGAAACAAGTGCCTAAATGCCTACAATCGTCCCTAAAAACTGTAACAATTAAGCAACAAGGTTTTGAAGAGCATGAACTTGACCCGGTGCATTATCTTTTGAGGAATTCTCAAGTACTTGAGAGAATGGAAATATTACCCCGAAAAGTCAGATCAACTTCGACTTCGAGTGGTTTTCTTAGAAGTGATCTCACTCCAGCATTCAAAGCGCTTAAGAAAATTTCAATGTTTGAGCGAGGATCCAAGGCATGTCAGCTTGTCTTCTTTTCAGATTGTTGAGTGAATGGGCTGAACGGGTTTTGAGCAGTGATCTTAGGTTATTATTCTGAATATTTATATTTAACAGTTGAATGTTCCTTTGGTGAATAATAACTCTTTTTTCACTTGTGCGACAAGATTGAATTTGTATGATGATTCAAGAAGTTGTTAGTATATATGATATGAAAGTGTGTTACAAAATGGTGGTGTAGTGGTGTATATATTAAGTCAAGCTTGCATATATATCCCTATCAGGTAGTTGTTTTGCATTCTTAGTTTTATTTTGTCATATGTTTGTAAAAGTTGTTTTAACTTTTAATGTTTAAAAAAATGTAATTAGGAAGTTTCTGCCCGTTCCCAAAGAAATACTTGATGGAGAATGAAAAATGTGCAAATTTTCAGTTAAATGCAATATGGGACAAAGGGAGCCGGCAATTGCTTCAGGGTTTTAAAAATAACAAAATTGTTCTTTGCTCTGACAAAAAATAAAAATTAAAAAAAAAAACAATTATATTTCAACAAACAGACCCAAATCAACTCGAACCTTAGTGGGTTTTGGGTAAAGCATGCTATTAACTGGTCATTTAAGGACATTTCGAAAGTTAAAAAATTAAAGTAGAAAAATTAGATTTTAAACATTCACAACATTTAGTTTTTAATTTTCTTACATAATTTTAATTTAACTACATTAATTAAACAAATGAAAAAAAAAAAAAATGTCGGATGGCATTGTGGCTGAATTCGGAACTATTGATTTCACCGCGAGACTCAACATTCGGACATCATCCGCGACAACTGGGTCTGGCGTTTACTCGGGCTGGTTCAAGGCCCAAAATTTTTTATTTTCGACCCTTTCTCTCTACACAAACTGTTCTTCCCCCAGCCGGTTCTGATTCCAGCAAATTGGGCCTGGGGACCCATCAGGTCGGGTTAGGAACCGACGGGCTGGGCCAATATGCCTACTCTTGATAGTCGGGCTCAAGACTTGCCCTATAAGAAAAGGGGAACCTTTCGGATTTTTCATGAAGCTGGTGGTAAGATTTTCCATGTGCTTTTCCCTAAAATTTTCGGATTTTTATGATTATTCTGTGCGCACCATTGATGAAAGCTTCACAGTTTTTGGTTTGAAACACCGAATACTATATCAGGGGTTCGTAACAAAACCCTGTTTGTGCAAAGTCCAATCGAATTTTCATGGAGAGAAGAACAAGTAAAAAGAGTCGTAAGCTTTCAAACAGAGAGCACAGTTTACGCCGCCCAATCGATATGCTCAGCAGGTTACCAGACGAAGTCATATGCGATATTCTTTCCTTTCTCCCGACAAAGATTTCCGTGTCAACCTGCGTTCTCTCGAAAAGATGGAGTTTTTTGTGGGCCCACGTCCCCGTTTGGGATTTCGAAGCAGAATTTTTCGAAGACGAAACACAAAATCCAGACGTGATCCACAGGGTTCTTCTTTGGCACAAAGCCAAAACAATGCATACTCTTCGGCTCACCCGTATAGACTGCAATGAGTATCAACTGGATACATGGATCACCACCGCCATTAGGCGTAAAATACGGAATCTTTATCTCGATTTTGTCTATGCAGAAACTACTGTTAAGTTGCATAGACCCCTCTTCAACTGCAAAACCGTGGTCGACATGATGCTCGGCAACTGCAAAGGCTTCTCTTCAACTGGGGACATATGTTTGCCTAGCCTCAAGAGACTTCATCTATCTAGAGTTGAGTATGAGGATGATAAATCGCTTCCACACTTGCTTTCCGGCTGTCCTTTGCTCCAGGAGTTGATCCTCGATTGCGAGTATTTTGAAAATTGTTTGAGATCCTTTAATATATCATCATCCACGATAAGAATGCTTGAGGTGAATCTCATAACCGAATGCCAGTATGTCCCTCACTTTTGGTTCTTTACAAATGCGTCAGCACTTAGATGTCTCCGTATGGGTAATTGTGATTTGGATTGCATCACATTTTCGAAAGACGTGGCCTCCTTAGTTGAGGTGGACATATGCTTTACAAGTTGTTCTGCGTGGAGCATTGACTACAGTGACGACCCCAATGTGGTAGAGTTTTTCGATCGTTTGAGTAAAATCAAGTTCTTAAAGATATCAAGCCATAATGACCTGAACGTATGTTTTTATTTTTTTGTTCTTGTTCTTGAAGATATGAAGCATCTATTCTTGTTATTGAGCTGAGTTTTATTTTGCAGATTATTGATGGGTTTGTCGGTTCAATGGAGAAGCTTAATAATTTAACCAAACTTGAACTCCGAGTGGTTGTTGAATGGTATTTGCTCGTAGAGTTTCTTCGAGTTGCTGATAATCTTCAAGTCCTTATTGTAAGTGGAATTTTGCCAAAGCATTGAAGTTTGTCTTTAGTTGTTTCTCTTTCCTTACTTCAATAGCTTCCTTCTTCATTTGCTGTTATCAGGCTGATGTAGAAATTCGTAATTCTTGCACGGAGCCGAAACAAGTGCCTAAATGCCTACTATCGTCTCTAAAGACTATAACAATTAAGCAACCGGGTTTTGAAGAGCATGAACTTGATCTTGTGCGTTATCTTTTGAGGAATTCTCAAGTACTTGAGAGAATGGAAATATCGCCCCGAAAAGGCATATCGAGTTGGAGTTCGAGTTGTTTTTTGGATCTCACTGCAACATTCAAAGCGCTTCAGAGAATTGCATTGTTCGAGCGAGGATCCAAGGCATGTCAGCTTGCCTTCTTTTTAGATTGTTGAGTGATTGGATTGAGCATGTTAATGGGCAGTGATCTTAGGTTACTATTCAAAATGTAATGGTTGAGTTTTTTTGTGTTGAGTTTGTGCTAAAATTCGTCTCGTCTGACTATATAGAAAAATGGTCAGTCGTTTAACTTGAACTTGCACGCTGTATCCTTTATAAAAACTTGTTTTGAATTCTCAATTTTATTTAGTCATATGTTTGTGAAAGTTTTTTTTTCATGTTTGAACTATATTGGGAAGTAAGTTACTGTGATTTCCAAAGAAATACTTGATTTTGATGGAGAATGAAAATGTGCAAATGTTCAGCTAAATGCAATATGGGACAAAGGGAGTTTAAGAATTGCTTCAGGGTTTTCTAAAAATAACTAATTTGTTCTTTGCTCTGACACACACACACACACACACACACACACACACAAACCCTATCTTTCACCAAACAGACCCAAATCAATTCTAACCTTAGTGGGTGTTGGGCTATGCAGGCTATTAAATGGTCATTTATTGACCATTAGATTGTATACATTCACAATATTTAGTTTTGAATATACTTATATAATTTTAATTTGGCTACATTAATTAAAAAAAATAAAAATTTGCCCGCTGGCATTGTGGCTGAATTCGGAACTATTGATTTCACCGGCAAGACCCAACATTCGGACATCATCTGCGGTATTTTTCTTAAACATGAGGCGAAGTGCCCGAGTCTTTCTGGCTGCCTCTAGCTCGTGGAGTTGATCGTAATTTGTATGTTCATGGAAGATGTAAAAAAAATTGGACTGTGTTAGTATATCTTTGGAAACACTCAAGGTTAATCTTCGGCATTATTTGTCGAGATATCCCTGTCTATAGGATAAATGCACGGATTTTTACTCGAATGTTGATTTCTTAGCTGAGGCAAGGATCTTTGAAGTTGATTTCTACTCAAATGTTTGCATCAATAGCAATTCCGACGCGGTAAAATTTCTTAATTTTCTCTGTAATGTCGAGTGCCTATCATGTTTCGAACATGAGGAGGTATGCTGTAAATTCTTTTCGTCTCAATCTCTCTTAGAGCCTCCAGTTAATTGGTCTCCAATCATCTTTGTTCTTATAAGTTGATTTTTCTTTTCCAGGTTATCGACATTGGAGTTTAGCAGGTTTAGGTTTTGGTGTAGTGAGATCATAAGTTGTTCTTTTTGTGCTGTAATAGTTGTTTTGACTTGCAATTTGTTTTATACTACTTTGCAATGGCTAGAAATGAAGTTTGTGGTGATTGTGATCCGTTAGCTCGTATGAATTATATGTACCGCTGATTGGGATTTACGATGTGGAGATCTACTTCATGCAAAGTGTCATATTTTTGCCATTTGAACTGTTAAAGATGCCGATATTTCTTCTCAAGAGCGGCCGAGGGTTTGAGAGGATTGGAATATCCAAGACATGTCAGCTTCAAATGAGATCTCTAATGTGCACATTGATAATATGTTCATGGTAACTTCACAACTATACATTAATTCTTCTCTTCTCATGAGATGAAATAACAAAAGTTTGAAGTGATTTTTTCCTGCATCCCTTTCTCCTAAGATTGTGTTTTGATCATGGTATCAAATATAAAAGGAAAATATTGTCCATATCTTCGACACGAAAGGACCACGACTGACCACAAAAACTTCAGCTCGGCAGCGCCAAATTGACCAACTACGCAGATTTCGACTATAGGATAATTTCAACATGTTGAGGAAATTTTGTATTCAGAGAAAGTTCAATACAAACTTCATTACATTAGAAGTTCAGCAACACTCGATATACATTAGTTAATGAGTTTATGAGATGATACTCTTCATTTCATTTCATGCCTCACGTCTATCTTTTATCGCCCACAAAATTTGAAAATAGTACTCCCTCCTTTTTTAAATAAATGTCGTTTTAACTTTTTTGATTCATCCATTTTGCTATGTATCTAGACATTAATATGTCTAGATACATAGCAAAATGGATGAATCAAAAAAGTCAAAACGACATTTATTTAAAAAAGGAGGTAGTAAAAGATTAATAAGCAAGACAAAATGCATCGACCACAACAGTAAACGAACATTCTGTTGTTGAATAACATGCATTAAAACTTGTTATGGCCACTGTCAATCTTCGGCATTATTTGTCGAGATATCCCTGTCTATAGGATACATGCAGGGGATTTCTACTCGAATGTTGATTTCTTAGCTGAGGCATGGATCTTTGAAGTTGATTTCTACTCAAATGTTTGCAGCAATAGCAATCCTAATGCGGTAAAATTTCTTAATTTTCTCTGTAATGTGAGTGCCTGAATGTATCAAGTTTCGAACATGAGGAGGTATGCCGTGATTTCTTTTCGTCTCAATCTCTCTTAGAGCCTCCAGTTAATTGGTCCCAATCATCTTTGTTCTTATAATTTGATTTTTCTTTTCCAGGTTATCGACATTGGAGTTTAGCAGGTTTAGCTTTTGGTGCAGTGAGATCATAAGTTGTTCTTTTGTGCTGTAATAATTGTTTTGACTTGAAATTTGTTTTATACTACTTTGCAATGGCTAGAAATGAAGTATGTGGTGATGGTGATTCTTTAGCTTGTTTGATTATATGTACCGCTCGATGTGTAGATCTACTTCATGCAAAATGTAATTTTTTTGCCATTCGAGTTGTCAAAGATGCCGGAATATTTTCTTCTCAAGAGCGGTCGAGGGTTTGAGAGGATTGGAATATCCAAGACATGTCAGCTTCAAATGAGATCTCTAATGTGCACATTGATAAGTAAGAAGCCCATATTAACAAAAAAAATTATATAAATATGAAAAGCTTATAAAGCTAACAAAATAAGTTTTGTTTGGTCGGATATAGAGCACATTAGTACGCCCCTCATGAAAAGGCCAGCTCGCATTCCTTTGATCCTCGTTTAAATAATGCAATCTTTTTTAGCGCATTGAGCTTTATCGCCGAATTGGTCGTCGTGTGTATTTCCATCCTTCTCAACACTTCGGCATTCTTTAAAAAATACCTCACCATGGAAACTCGGGCTCCTCGCCATCAAATTCATCAATGCTTACCACTGCTAGACGAGATAACAGGCATCTTGGCACTTGTTCGGGCTCCTCTCAGATTCTGCCATTTGAACGCCCCTGATAAGAGCAGTCACCATATCAGACTCCAAGCCGAAAGAGCTATTAATCAAGGCGAATGAAAAAGAAGCAGAAACTAAAGATTACATTTTCTAGCATAACCAACCTTTAAGATGACTAGAACTTCAAGATTGTCAGCTCTCTCCAAAATTTTCATGAGAGAACGCCAACTGAAGTCCAACTCAAGCCGGGTACAATTATGAAACCTTGGGATTGATCTTATCCTAGAAGGCAACTGAAAACAGCCAGCATCAGTTATTAGTAGAAATGAAGAGTATGAAAACAGATTATCCCAAAGGTGACTAAGTTACCGGCACATTAATTGACAGTTTTAGCCTCTTCACTTTGCAGAGGCGGTTGACGAAATCCAACACTGAAAGACGAAAAGGCTTGTCCCCATTACCAAAAGAATAATAAATGTAAATGTCTGCCTCAATTAAGGAAGTCAGTGCACAAGTTGAGACATGTGAGGTCGTGCGAACCCATAGCTTTAGATATTCAAGTGCGGGAGCAATTATCCCCACCTCATGGTTGTAAATAGATATAAAAGTTAGAGAAGATAACTCGAGCTTTTTTATTGTGGGTGAAGAGATATAATACTTGTCATCCTTACTTCCAATAATGGACAAATCATCAAGCACCGGGCAGCAACAAAGCAATTTAGGAAGGTTTTCATCAGTTCCAAATCGAACAGTCTCGAGATGAAGCTTCTTGAGGCGAGGGAAAGATATGTCCTCACCGCTAAAACTTGGCAAGAGACAATATGTGAGCCTCAACTCAACAAGGGCTTTGCACGTGAAGGTGGCTCGAGGCAGAGCAACCATAAGACTCTGCATACCGCAACTTAAGGAGAGACTGAGATTGTTGATACTGCGCCCGGCGAACCACTTCTCGACTTTGTTCTCGTAGTATAAATGATAAAGCCTGCATTTGAGGCAGAAAGTGTTTATGCTCTGCAGTCTAGGATTAGACATAATCCTGTTGATGATGTCTCCAGTTCCCGTCTCATGATCATTACTTCTGCTGTCGAAATCAAGATTCGGGAAGTGGGCCCACATGATCCTCCATCTTCTAGAGAGGATGCTGGTCGACACGGAGATGTTGATCGGGAGAAACGAGAGAATGTGACTGATGATGTTATCCGGCAAGGCGCTTAGTCTGTCGACCGATGGCATGCTTCCGGGTTCACACCGACCTTTTGACAAACACTTCAATACTTTAAACAAGACAAGTGAGTGAAGTAACAGAGTTTGGGTTCCACACCGACCTTTTCACAAACACTTGAAGGTAATTTACTGTAATTTAAATTACAGTAATTTAAATTATGATTTATTCTAATTCATGAAAAAATAATTATATTTAATTTCATGTATGCAGAAATAAAAATAATTACAAATAGTGATCTAGAATTATAAGTGAACCAGAGGTGAAACTCCGACTGACTCCCGTTCACTTGCCATTGGCAGTCGCTGCTCGTCTAATAGATTTCAATAAATCGCATATCATTTCGAAGTCCTCTACTCAATTATTCCAACAACATATTTAATTTCATCATACGACACTTCAAAATTTGTTAATCATTGTTAAAATTTCATAAATATTAACATTTTGAGGTACAATTTTGTCGGAATGTCACGAAAGATCCGACTGTTGGATTTTCATAAAACGTGTATGTGTAGAAAACTATTTCTATAAGAAATTCAGTATGTCTCCTCCTAAATTTCTTCCAATGGTCAACTTTCATGGGTGAGCTTCAACTGGCCATTTTTGGTGACTCGGTTTTCCAAATTTCATGAGTGAGCTCTTATTTTGTTCTTCTTATCATGCGATATAATACTCATTAATCAAATTGATATTTTAAGTTTATATGAGCCTTCAATTTGAATGTTATTTTTCGTGCATTTTTTAAGGTATTAATAATTGTTTATTATTTTGTACTATTTTTTGGTTGTTGTGAGACACCGGACAAATGTTATGCAAAGAAGGACCAGTGTGGGCCTAGGCCCACACTGAAAAAAAAAAAAAAAAACCCTATATATATCCGCCCCTGAAGGTCGCCGTCGTCTGCTCTCAGATCTGGGCTCGATTATTCAGATTTACAACCACGAGATTTGCTATTCAGATGTGGCCTTGATTATCCGACCTTAGTTTTTATTTACGTTTGTTCTCTGGATGAAACTTAATTCTGTATTGGTGCTCGGCGAATAAAAACAATGATATTTGGGTTTTTTTTGTTGATTTTCATGTTTTGAATTATTGTAGTGGTGTTTTTCTTACTATTGTGACATTACTATCTCATATATTTGTTGTTGAAAAGCAATGATATTGGGTTTTTTTTGTTGATGAAAAGTTATTTTCATGTTGTTTTGTAATTTATTTATTTGTCAATTGAAAGTTGTTTTTATGTTGCCGACAAGTATTAGTGTTATTTAATAAACTATTTTTCATACTTTTTTTTTTTTCTTTCAGGATGTAAAGCCTTTGATTTTTTTAATTTTTTTTTTTCTTCCTGAATGATGCTTCCTATTTCTTCAAATATTTGAAGCCCGAATTCTGCTGTATTGTTTTCCTTGCATCTTTTTCTTTTAGGGGGATTGCAGGTGGAGTAACTTGTATGAACATGTTGAAACAGAAACACAATTATTTAAATTCCCGGCGGTTATACATTCAATTGCCTTGTTTAATTATGTTTTTGTTTTTTTAATATTTTTTTATTTTTGATTCGGTTAATTTTTTTTTTTTTTTTTTTAAGACATGTAATTTATGTAGGAAAGGAGACCTTGAAAATTAGTTGTGATGTTATCGATATGAAAACTCGTAAAAAACGACTATGAAGGTATGTTCTTGTAATTGTACTCTTTGTTATAATATTTTGTATTTTTTATTAAATAATTTGGCCCCTTCTCAACATTTTTGCTAGATCCGCCCCTGAATGTTAACGAAACGGTGTGGACAAAAAATGGTAAGCAGACAAAACGTTTAAGATAAAAAGTGATTAAATGAAAATTCGGGTAACAAAAGTAAAATGATGTAAATTTGGCTTACCATACAATTTTTTTTTTTTTTTTTTTTTTTNNTTTTCCTAAAAGTTTTTAATGGTAATTTAGTAGTTTATAAATGAGACTTTCTTTGAATATTTAGTTAAGAAAATAAAATGGCACGTCATATTTCAGGCATTTGTTGTTAGATATGCACGAGCCATGTACGAAGGTAATGATATAATGACCCTTGTTACTAAGACAAACAAACATATTTTCAATAAATATAAATACTTTCAAATTAAAGTGTAATACTAAAAACTCAGCATAAACATAAATATGACATTTTATAATATAACTATATAAGTATGCATTTTTTGTTGACTGATCTAACAATTAATCACCTCACCCAAAAAATGTTATACTTATAAAATATTATTGATTTTGTTTTGGTTGGATAAAGTTTTTTTTTTTT